GAGTCTAAAATCACGAGTTTAAACATATCTAAGATCCTTGTCCTTCTGGATCCACACTTCCTTCTGGGTCTTCATCATTATAAATGTTCTCAGCCTGCCCCAAAAGAAGAAAAAGAGTATTTAGTAATCATGAAGGCTACTTCTTGAATTCAAGGTTCCATTAACAGATTAGGTCAGGGAACCAAATAATAAGTATTTTAAGCTCGTGAGTCATACATATAGGTGCTATTTCAACTTTCTGCCACTGTCACAGAAAGTCTGTAATAAGTATGACTTATGAATGTGTATGGCTATATTCCACTAAAAACATACAACTGGTCATAGGCCCCTTTTAGTTCTTTGATAATTAAACTATGATTATTGTACAGTGGCAGAGTATGATAAACACAGAAATATAAGCTTCAATTAAAAACCTGGCCAGGTCATGCCTGTAACCTTAGAACTCTTAGAGGCTGAGCCAAGAAGACCCCAAATTAATAGAGCCTGGGCAATTTAGCAAGACCCTGTCTCAAAATAAAAAAGGGGTGGGGTTAAGGTTTAGCATGAAGGCTCTGGTTCAAATCCCTGTATAAAAACAAATCCTAAATGGCAAACCTGCCCTAGCCATATATTCCAAATCTCAAAATGCTTGATTCTAGAGAGACACACATGCTAAGCAAGGACTCTACAACTGATCTACAGTCAACTGTTAAAGGAACCAAGCAGAAGATATGAATTGGCAAGGTGGGGAGGGGCCTCATGGGTTTCATGCAACTTCTGGTCATGCCCCTCTCCCAGCATTTTAATATATTCTTCAAGGATGAAGTTTGTAACATTAAAAGGTTTTTCCAGGGCCAGGGAGATGGCTCAGTGCAATAAGCGCTTCCCTGACAAGCACAAGGGTCTGAGTTCAATCCCTGGTTCTGCAAAAAAAAAAAAAAAAAAAAAAAAATTTTCCCCTTGGGGTGGGGGAGGTCCTACTATGTTACCCCAGGCTGGTCTCTAAAGATTCCTGCACATTAGCATCTATGCATGTGCCCCTGGTATGGGTGTGGCAGTGGTGGTTATGTATATGGCCTACTGGGGTTGAGCCCAGGGCCTTTGCCCTGAGCCATATCATTTATTCACTTATGTATTTATTTATTTTTGAGACAGGGTCTTTAGTTTAGGTTGGCCTCAAACTCATGGTGATCCTCCTACCTCAGCTGCCCAAGGACTGGGATGCAAGCACGTGCCACCACACCCCAGCTTGAAATCTTTTACCATACTACCTTCATTTACAAAAAAGTGTTAGCCAGACACAGCAGTCAAACCACCACTACCACCGAAAAAATGTGGTAAAAATGTTTTTTTTTTTTTTTTGCGGAGCCGGGGATTAAACTCAGGCCCTTGCACTTGCCAGGGAAGCACTTATTCTACTGAGCCATCTCCCTGGCCCCCAACTTTTTGAGTGCTGGGATTTATAGGCATATGCCTCCATACTCAACTGTACTCTTTTATTTTTTTTTTCCTTGCTGTGTAATTCAAACTGGCTATGAGTTGACTATGTACTGAAGTTGGTTTAACTTGTGGCAATTGTCCTGCTGTAGCCTCCTAAGTGCTGGGATTACAGGCATGTGACACCATGCCGTTTTCAAATACTTTTAAATATAAGGATTTTTTTGGGGGGACAGGGGTTAACCAGAAATTGAACTAGAACCTTGTACTTGCCATGCAGGCACTCATGCCATTGAGCTACATTCTCAGCATCCCCCCCTTTATGTCTTACACTAACCATAGAGTGTTTTTGTTGGAGACAAAGTCTTACTTATGTAGTTTAGGATAGCCTCAAAACATACTGGCGGGGGCTGGTGAGATGGCTCAGTGGTCTAAAGCACCTACTTAGAACAAGCTTGGCAAAAACAAAGGGACAGCGGTTCAATCCCCCAGCACCACATGCCAACCAGCCCCGCCCCCTGGTGGACTGAGCTGGCCACACACATAAATAAATAAATAAATAAATAAAAACAACAACAACAACAACATACTGGCAATCCCTCTAAGTCTCCCCAATTCTGTGCTAAAAGGTATCCACTACACCTTTTATGCCTAATTTAGACATTAGTGTTTTGTTTTTATGTTGGGGATTGTACCCAGAGCCTCATGCATGTAGAATATGCCCTCTACCACTGGTCCACACCCAGTTTATAGTTTTCTTGATGCTAGGCAATTAATCCTGAGTCTTGTATGTGTTAGTTCTCTTAGTACTACAAATCAAACCAGGAGTGCTCTACCAGTGAGCAACATTCCCAGCCTGACTGAGGCACTTGGAATTGAACTCAGGGAACAATGAGTCATATTCTCAGTCCTTTTAATTATTTTTCAAAAAATGCTTTGATAAGTTGCCTAGGTTGGCCTCAGAATTTTAACTCTATCTCAGTCTCTCAAGTAGTTGCATTTCAGGGGTGTGTCACCTTAACCTGGTTGCATTTTTTTTAAAAATTAAATTCTAAGTGTTCTAAAAAAAATCAAAAACCTGAAATTCAGTTTTAGAGTTAGGAAATATATTTGAAATCTAGAGAAATTTCAGAGAAATGGCAATATATATCATGTTGTAACAATATTGTCTCCTTTGGATATATGTACTTGCATCTGTAAGGTAAATACATATGGGAGAAAAATTATAGATGCTATGAAACCTGTACATATATCAGAGAGGTGAATAGTTTGCAGTTTGAAAGTTTGGTTAGCCAGGAGACACTAGTGCTTACAAAACAGGGTAATATGGGCTGGGGAGATAGTATACTAGAATAAGTGCTTGCCTGGCAAGCACAAGGTCTTGAGTTCAATCTCCGATACTGCAAAACAAAACAAAACGAAAAACACACACAAAACAAAACAAAACAAAACAAACAGGGCAATGAGTAGTAGAAAAGGAGAATGAGGAGGAACAGAAGATAATCAGTAGGATAATCACACAAATGTAAAGGATGGCTGAAAATGGCAATGTGCATGACTAACATCATGTCTGAGAGTAAACTGAGCTAAGATGCATTGTATTCATGAAGTACATAAATATAAAATGTTGTTGTTGGGCATGGTGACACTTGTCTGTAATCTCAGCAGTTGGGAAGCAGAGGCAGAAGTACTGTTGTGAATTTGAGGCCGGCCTGGATGGACTACACAGCAAGACCTTGTCTCAAAAACAAAACAAAAATGATGCTATGTCTCATTTATCTAACTTCAGATAAATGACAAAACACTTACCATCTGCCACACTTGCATGATATTGTCTTCTGATACAGAACAAATCACCCAAGGTTCATTGGGATTCCAGGAAAAATCAGATATCTTAGCAGTATGACCGCCATGAATAAACTAAAAGAGAAAGAAAGCAAAGATAAAATGCAGACAGAGGATATTAATGTACAGACTACTTCAACACAGTTCACAGATTGTAACATACCAACAACTCAGGTGGGCCGTCTTCTGCATCTTCTGGGGACTGCTCTTCTCCAATTTTACTAGCAGAAAAAAATAAGTTAACAGATTTACCTTATTTTGGAAAATATAAATAAAATAACTTCACAAAGAGAGTAACTGATATAAGACTTATTTACCTTAAATCCCAGACATTCAGTCTTCTATCAGTACCACTAGAAGCCAGAATAGTCTCATTGTGAGGTGACCACTGAACCTATGGTAAGAAAGAAGAAAACAAAGTCCATGGACTAGAAAATTCACACAAAATATCTAAAGTTATACTCAATTTAAAAATTTTAGGAACTGGATGTGATGGTGTATGCTTCCATCTCAGAGATAAAAAGAGTTTAAGGCCAGCCCATTAGGGCCGGGGAGATAGCTCAGCTCAGTAGCATGAGCACCTGCCTGGCAAGTGCCAAGGTTCTGAGTTTGATCCCCGGTAAAGGCCAGCCCATTAATTGGGAGATGCTGCCTCTTAAAAACAAAAAGTGGGGCCTCTTTCGGGTCCTCCTTTCCAAGATGACGAAAAAAAGAACAATGGTCATGCCAAAAAGGGCAGTGGTCATGTGCAGCCTATTCGCTGCACAAACTGTGCCTGGTGTGTACGCAAGGATAAGGCTATTAAGAAGTTTGTCATTCAGAACATAGTGGAGGCTGCCACCATCAGGGACATTTC